GCGCGCGGGCACAGCTCGTACCATCCCCGGATGCTCTCCCGGGAGCTTCGGCTGCCGCCGTGCCCCCTCCCGCTGCCCCCTGCGCGCCGTGCCTCGGTTTCCAACCCCCCCAGCGTGGCGGTGCCGCTCTCGAGTTGGGGAAACCTCGTTAGGACTTGCTGAGCCGGCCGGGAAGCCTGGCCGCGCCATGCGGGCGAGCAGCAAAAATTATGAATAAGCTCTTGTTAATAAATACTTTATGATGAATCCAAATAGATTTCCTCCTCTGGAGCAATTATTGTAAAATGGGCTCTAATATGGTGCAGGGCTGGCCCCGGGAAGGGCTGGGTGCTTTTCAGGGCCTAAGTGCCTCCTTCCATCCCCTCTAATGAGCACTTCCCAATCATTTGCATCTGTCTCGGCAACAGGTCTCATTACCAGGTTAACTTATTGCCGAGAGCCGCTTCAGCGAACAGTTAAGAAGCTGCTACCAGAGGCTTTGCTGGGGCTGCGTGAGAGCGTTTTGTCCGTGCTGAGGACACCTGCGGGCTCCAGCAAGGGGAAACTGAGGCTGGGGCGAGGAGCCGAGTCCCCGCTGTGCCCCTTTCGGGTACTGGGATTTCGGGATTTTCAGGATTACCTCAATCTCTCTAGCTGCGTCCCCCCCACCGCCACGCCAAGGCTTCCCGTGGCTCAGTGCCCAGTGCCAAACTTGCCAGCCCCTGCCCGGGCTCGCGCGGCCGCGGGGAGTGGGACCTGGCAGGAGCGGCGGCCGTGGGAGCCGGCAGCAGTTTGGAGGTGTGTGGCTGGCTGGCGGGGAGGCTGAGCGTCCTTTCATAAAATAAACTCTGTGTGGTCCCTGCAGGGCTGGGATGCGGCGAGGTCGCCCCGCATCGCCCGCTGCCGGCACTGGGGATGGCATCCTGCTCCTCCCTGGGGGCCGGGGCCGTGCCGGTGGGGAGCAGCACCAGCTGCTGAGGTTACTCCTGTCCCACTCCTCCTCCTTCTCCACTCCCCCCACCCCCCGCCCCCCGAAAACTGCTCGGGAATTTCCTGAGGACACGTATTATTTTCATCGGAAAATTCAGGCCGTTTCGCCGAGCCCAACCTGTTTGGACAAGGCGCTGGAATGGGGGACGCTCCGAGGCCTGGCCAGCCCATGCCACGGTGCCCGTGCCTGGTGCTGCACCCCTGTGTGGCACAGAGCATCCCCCGCTGTCCCCAGGGTGGAAGGCACTCCCCGCGCCCGAGCAGACGGCGCAGGGGACGGGCAGGAGCACCGGGAGAGGCAGCGCCTCGGCTGTGCCCCCCCCCGCCGCCAGCTCCCTGGCGCTGCTAAAACCCACGCTTGCCGGGGGGAGTTAATCCTGGCACAGCGTGCCAGGCTCCACGCAGAATATCGCTCCTTCCCCGCCCCACTCCATGGCGGGACTCGCACCGGGACAGAGCCGGGCTTGACCCATGCCTCGGTTTCCCCTCGCAGCACCTGGGGTGGAAAGCCAGCGCTCCACCAGTCCCTGGAAGCGGGGGGCGCGAGGGGGGGCCCTGTGCTGGGGCCGGCAGCACCCTGACGCAGGCATGCTCCTCCCCGGGTCGCGGGGCTTTACAAGCCCGGGCTGGATGAGGCCCAAGCACAGGCTCTGCTGCCAGATTCCCATCCGGAAATGCCCCGGGAGCAGCCTTGTCTGGGGTATTGCAGCACGTCTCTGCTTCCCAGCCCCATGAAGGAAAAACAGCAGGAGAAACACTTAACCAGCCCTTCGCTGGCGCTCGGAGCTGCCGGCTGGGGTAGCGAGGCCGGCAGGGATGGGGGCCGGGGACAGACGGGAGGCACATCCCTGCCTTTGCTTTCCGAAGCGGAGCTGGGTGTGAAGCTGGCCGGAGCCACGCCGGGGCGGTGGGCCCGGCTGAGGGGCTCACCAGCCGCACGGTGCCAGCAGCGCAGTGGGGCTGCGGGGCACAGGCACCCTCCCCGAGCCCTTCAGCTCGTCCCCTGGGCACCCAGCTGCAGCCGTCCCACCCCGACTGGCCGTCCCGGTGCCCCCCGGCTGCCCTCGCCTGGCCCCACTAAAGCGGCTTAACTCTGCGCGGCATCGGCGCCGGATAAGCTGAGCGGGAGGGAAAGTTGGCGAGGGGCTGATTGGCTTTCGGTGAAGCTCTCGTAATCCCCGGGTGTGTGTGTGGGGGGGGGGGCACGATGGCTTGGGGGGCACCGAGGGCTGTAGGGGCTTCTGCACACAGCGGGTTTGGGGAGGGGTCCCAGTCGTGGGTCCGGGTGGGATCTGAACACCCTCGGCACTGGGGGGGGGGGGGGGAGAGCAAAGCCCACAGCAAGCGGGCACTGAGCGTCCCCCTGGCCCACGCAGTGAGGGCGAGCAGCACCCAAGGGTGCTGCCTGTCCCAAAAGGGATAACCTGTTTCTTGCCTGACTGCCCTGCAGCAGTGCCCAGGGTGGCACTGCCCAGCAGGAGGGCACGGACAGGGACAATGGCGTGGTGTGTCCCGTCCCCCCCCCAGCCCCCCGCAAGCCCTGTGGCCAAGCTCTGCCGCCGGCTGCCTGGGGAGGGTGGCGGGGCCCCGGGGATGGCAGCAATTTGTAGGGCTCGTCTGAATAACCGGCCACCAAGGAAGATCAGCCGCCCACCGCCCCGGCCAAGTATTGTTTTTGGAACTTGCTGCTGCTTTTTTCGGCTCCTGTCTTACTTTTCTTTGACCTTCTTCCCTGATTTAAGACACATGCCCAGCCCTTGCCCAGCTGCACTGAATTAGCGGCTGCTGCTGGGGAGGGAACCAGACCCTGCGGCTGCATGGGGCCGCAGCCGCCCCGGGAGCAGCCACAGGGACAGGTCCCCCAGGCAGGGACGGGTTCCCCTGGCAGGACGAGTCCCCGGGGTCAGGATGGGTCCCTCAGCGGGGTTGGGTCCCCGCGGATGGGATGGGTTCCCCAGCAAAGGTGGGGTCCCCCTGTCCCTTGTGGAGAACGGGGGGACACCTGCGGGGTCACAGCTCTGGTGAAGCTGGGTCTGGATCAGGGGCTGTCAGCTCCTGGGGACCACAGGGGTGTGTGCCAGGGGTGACGGGTCTGTGCTGGCAAATAACTGGGTCTGTGCTTGGAGGCACTTTTAGGGGCTTAGTGGGGCTGGCTGGTGGTTATTGGGGTCTGTGCCAGGTTCAGGGGACGGTAGAGTCTGTGCCGAGATGTCTGTGCCAGGTCACAGTGGGATCTGTGCAGGGGACACTGGTCCAGGGGACACCAGGGGCTGTACGGGAGGACCTGTGCTGGATCTTAGCAGGGGTTGTGCTGGGGGAGCACGTTTGGGGTTTCGTAGGGGCTGGTTTGGGGTTCGTGGGGTCTGTGCTGGGGGAGCAGGTTCGGGGTTTCGTAGAGGCTGGTTTGGGGTTCGTGGGGTCTGTGCTGGGGGAGCAGGTTCGGGGTTTCGTAGAGGCTGGTTTGGGGTTCGTGGGGTCTGTGCTGGGGGAGCAGGTTCGGGGTTTCGTAGGGGCTGGTTTGGGGTTCGTGGGGTCTGTGCTGGGGGAGCAGGTTCGGGGTTTCATAGGGGCTGGTTTGGGGTTCGTGGGGTCTGTGCTGGGGGAGCAGGTTCGGGGTTTCATAGGGGCTGGTTTGGGGTTCGTGGGGTCTGTGCTGGACCTGGGGCCAAGCAGGACCTAGCGGGGTCCGTATGGGGCCGGTCCCTGCTCGAGCCTGGTTCAGGGGACACTGTTCCCTCCGAGCAGGGTCACTCTGGGACAGGTCTGATTCAGCCGGGAGTGGCATCGCTGCCCTGGGACGAGGGGGGCAGCCGCCGTCTCCGGAGCCGCTCGCCCCATCCCGCTGCCGGGGCTTTCCCGGCTCCTGCCCGCGGCCGCCTCGTGGGTCCCTCCCCGGTGCAGCGCCTGCCCTTGGCACCCTCCCCACCGGGAGGGTGACCCAAACCCGGGCACGACCCTGTGAACTGGGGCTGCGGCACGGTGGCAGCAGCTGCCACTAGCCACCCCGTGCCTGGCCCCGGCAGCCCGCGGTGGGACTCGAGCACCGAGCTGGGCTCCTTCCTCCTCCACATCGTCACCCGCCCTGAGGGACCCTGAGGGCCAAATCCTGCCCACGGGGACCAGCTTGTTGCCACCCTGGCCATGCACGGGGATGCTTGGCCCTCTCCCTGCACTTTTCCAAGCCATGCCACTCCCTGCTGGGACGGCTCCCGACACCTTTCCGTCCCACGGCAGGGTTGTGGCCACCCCCCAAGCCAGGAAACACTGATTTTCCAAACTGAGGGAAAAAAAAAAAAAAAAAAGGGATGTGGGAAGGAGGGGCCGTGGAGGGAGATGCGTTTTCCTTGTTTTCTTTTGGGGCTGGACTCGTCCAGCAGCGCTCGCCAAATGGAAAAAGGCAGTCAGAGCATGCCTTGTGCGCCGGGCCGGGCGCCAGCTGCTGGGCTGGCCGCAACTGGGGCAAACTGGGGGAGTTTCCCGCTGTCCGGAGGGAGTAGGGAGGTCCAAGGCACCCGCAGCCCATGCAGGAGCACCCGGGATGCTGGGGGTTTGGGGGAGCCCCCCCCCGTGGGTGCTGTGGTGTGGCAGTGCCTGGCACCGGCACGGCGGCTCCGGCGGGTGCGGTGTCAGGCGGGGTTTCTGCGGGGGTGGGGAGCAGCCCCTGGCACGCGTGGGTGCGAGGGGGAGAGGGTCCGGGAGCTGCCGAGGCGGCGTGACTTGCGCAAGTGACACCCCCGACTCTGGTGTGCCCTGGACACCCCCGGCAGGTTACTGGTCTGGGAGAATTGCAGCCGGTGAGGCTTATGGGGGGCGGCTGGGATGGGGGGGATCCCGGGGCATGGGGAGGGGTGCCGTGTCCCCAGTGGGCAACGTGCCTCTGGCGCAGCTCTTCCTCCTGGTCGTGGCAGGATGCCACCCGGAGGGGGTGTCCCCAGCAGGTCGCCGCGGGGTCCCCAGCCGTCACAGGTTGGTGGGGAGGGGGGGGGGGGGGGCTCGGCCAGGAGTGACCGCCTGTCCCTCTGCTCCCACAGGATGAGTTCCACCCCTTCATCGAGGCGCTGCTCCCCCACGTCCGGGCCTTCGCCTACACCTGGTTCAACCTGCAGGCCCGCAAGCGCAAGTACTTCAAGAAGCACGAGAAGAGGATGACGAAGGACGAGGAGAGGGCGGTGAAGGATGAGCTGCTGAGCGAGAAGCCGGAGGTGAAGCAGAAATGGGCCTCGCGCCTCCTGGCCAAGCTGCGCAAGGACATCCGGCCCGAGTGCCGCGAGGACTTCGTGCTCTCCATCACGGGCAAGAAGCCCTCGTGCTGCGTCCTCTCCAACCCCGACCAGAAGGGGAAGATGCGCCGCATCGACTGCCTGCGCCAGGCGGACAAGGTCTGGCGGCTGGACCTGGTCATGGTCATCCTCTTCAAAGGGATCCCGCTGGAGAGCACCGACGGCGAGCGCCTGGTCAAGTCGGGCCAGTGCACCAACCCCATCCTCTGCGTCCAGCCCCACCACATCAGCGTCTCCGTCAAGGAGCTCGACCTCTACCTGGCTTACTTCGTCCGCGAGAGAGGTGGGTGCTCGGCTGCCGGGGGGGCAGAGCCAGGGTGGGTCCCCACCAGAGCTGGTTCCTTCGGGGGGGGGGTTGTTCCAGCGTTCCCATCCCCACTGATGTCCGTTCCATCCCCGGCTCCAGCATGGGGACACCACTCAGGGACACGTTTCCCCTCGCAGATCCTGCAAAGAGGAGCCCGGTGTTCCCCTCTCTCCAAACTGGGTGCCCGGCCCCCTGCCCACGCAGCCCCTCTCCCCCAGCTGGGACAGATCCTGCCTGTCCCGGGAGGTGCGTGCCCGGGGGGAGAGGAGACGAGCGGTCCCTGAGGATGCTCCTGCCTCCGGGCATTCCCGGGGGGGGGGTGTCTTGGCGGGGGTTAACCCCACATCCCACGCCTGCCTGCCGTGACTGTGCCGGTGAGGAGCAGGTGGGCGGCGTGGGCAGGGAAGGGACAGCCTGTTCCCGGCGCGTCCGCCGAGGGCTGGAGCTGGGAGCGGTCCAGCAGTGCCAGTCTGCCGTGGGCTACAGTCCCAGCCCCTCACGGGGACAGGAGTGGCCGAGGCCGGCCGGGGAGGGGACAAACCCCAGCAGCTCCTTGTGGGGATGCTGCTCCCCTGCCCTTCGCCTGCCCGGGGGTCCCACAGACCCACTGGGAGAGCAAGGAGGGAGGGCCGGACCCACTCTCAAAGCCTCGATGAAAGGGGGAAACTGAGGCACAGCGGGCAGGGCAGATGGTGGTTTCCAGGCTCAGAGGATTAGGTCCCTAAGCTGTGGTCCTCACCACCGGCTCCTGCCACCTCCCTGCGTGTCAGGAAGGGGAAGCTCGTAGTAGCTTGGGATCTTATTTTATCCGGGCAGGTTTGCTGTCCCCATCTGGTGATGTGCTGGCACAGACACCCTCCTGGCAGCTGGGGTCCCCCCCCAGACCCCGACGTCCCCTGGCACCCTGAGACGGGTGAGGAGCCCAGGGAGATGCTGTGTGATCCCCGTGGGCCAAGGCAGGGCTTGGTTTCACCGGGCTGGTGCAGAGCCGGGGGGGGGGGCTGTGACGTGCAGCCCCGAGGGGTGGTCGAGGGGCTTGCAGCCCTCACCGTGGCCAGGCCAGCCTGCCTGGGCGTGCGGGGACCAGGACATCAGTAGCAACCCCCCTGCCCGTGCCCGCAGCATTGGGTGATGTCCCCTAGCTGTGCCCCCCAGCCCTGTGAGCCTGTCCCCATCAACACCACGGCGGGGGGAGTGTGGGGGTGGTGGCTGCTTGCCCAGCACTGGCCAGGGGCCCAGGCACAGATAGTGACACCACAGAGGGCACCGGCGCCGGCAATCCCAACAAAGCGGGTGCCAGCGCCACGAATCACGGTGGGTATGGGCAGCCGGAGGCTCCTCTGCCCCTGCTCGGCCAGCAGTGGGACATACTGGGTGTCACTGGGGAAACTGAGGCATGGTGGGCACGCAGCCCCCCCCTGCTCCCCAGGGAGACGCATGTCGTGGGGCAGGGTGCCGGCGGGGACTGCCAAGCCCTCGTGGCTTTGGGGAGAAGCAGGGCACAGCCTCCACCAGCAAATAGCCGGGGCCGGATCCTGCCCCCAGGGCCCAGGTGGGACCCCACGCGGGTGGGGGGGCACGGGCAGTCACGTTTTGGTGAGGGGGGGGGCGGGCATGCATGTGTGTGGTTGCACACACGTGTGCATCCAGGACCTGCCCGCCCGGCGGCTGCATCTCCCGGCGTGTGCACGTGCGTGGTGCCGGCGCCTTACACCAGTGCCCACGCGTGTGGGTCGCCCACCCAGGGGCAGGAGGGGGCCCGGCGGGGCCTGATGCTGCTGGTTCCCCGTGGTGCACTGGGAATGGGAACAGCGGGTGCTGAGCTGGGGATGGGAATGAATGGGAACGGGTTGGGGTGGGGGTGCCCTGTGCAGGATGGGGCGGCGAGTGCCGGGCAGGGTGCGGGGGTGTCGTGCTGGGCTGAGACGTGACCCTGCTGGCCTGAATCGGAACGGGGTGCTGGGCGTGACTGGGGTGCTGCATGCCGGGCTGGACTGGGGGGCACCCCGTGCTGGTTTGTGTGGAGGTACAATGTCAGGCTGGGCTGGGGGGGACACCACCGGGCTGGACTGGGAGCACCCCCATGCTGGCCCGGGAGCCTTATCGTGACCATGCTGACGGCAGGGAGCAGGACCCCCCCCCCCCGGCAGCAGTCACGGGGTCCCCTGCGCCTCTTGGCGTGCCACATTGGGGGGGTCCCTGTGCCGGCGGGTTCCCTGGCCACCACACAGCCGGTGGGTGTCCCCGGGGAGGTGGCTGCCCCTCTGCCACCACCCCCCCGCCCCCCCGCCAGCGACCTTGACCCCGGCGTCTGGGTCCCCAGCAGCCGCAGTCACCTGACTGTCTAATTGGGAACACAGTGGCTGTAAATACTCTCTGATAAGGCCTGGCAGCCTCTCACTTTCTCTGTTAAGGTCGCTCCGTGCCCTGGTTAAGGGGGACTGGGACAGGACAGCGGCACCGGCTGCGCCTGGGGTGGGACCCCCCCCCCCCCCCCCGGGGTGCTGCAGGGTGCTGGGCGCTGCGGGGCGGGCGTGGGGGGATGCTCAGCATTGCCTTGGCCTCGGCCCACAGCGGGCGCTTTCTGTGGGGCTGTGGCTGGAGAGGAGTTACCCAGCCCGCCCCGTCGGTGGGGAAACTGAGGCAGGGCGGGACGGTGGGGCCCTGCGCGGTGTGGCCAGGCCGGGCGATGGCACGGCTGGGGGTGTGCTGGGTGTCCCCACAGCCGCGCAGGCTCGCCGGCCTCCTCCCTGCCCAGCGTGCTGCCTGCTCCCTCCTGCCCGCTCCCACCCGCTCCCTCCGCACGCTTCCCCCCCCCCCCCTTGCACATCTCACCCCTCAGCCACCCCCCTGCTTCGGGGCTGGGGGGCGAGCAGAAGGATGCTGCGGGGGGGGGGGATCTTGCCTGCACGGAACCCCCCCTGGCCGGGCAGCTCCAGCTCCCTGCAGCCCCCCTGGCCCCCCGTTATCAGGCTGGAGCACGTGGGCTCTCGGCTCCCCCGCCTACGCCCGGCCCGTTTTGCTGGTGTCAGCACAATTTCCCAGCCACTGCTCTGGCAGTGCCGGGGAGGGGAGGTGGTGGAGGAGCCCCCCGGCCCTGATCTCCCTACTCAGGGTCAGGGGCAGCCTTGAGGGGGGGCTGGATTCCAACCCCTACCCCAGACCGATGCTGAGGGCCCGCTCTGCCTCTCAAATCTTTCTTGCCCCCCCATCCCTCTGCCTGGAACACCCGCCTGCTCTCTGTGCCCCCCCCGGGGTGCGCATGGGGAAACTGAGGCATGAGCGATGCTGGGCTGGGGGGAGGCCACATCCCAGCCCCTCTGGCCCCGGGGAGGGGGGCTGCCATGGGGTGCAGGGGAGCGCTGGGCACCTGGGTCCGCTCCCCAATGTTCGGCAGCGCAGCACCGGCCCCAGGAACCCCCTGCCCAGCACCCACAGCCCCGGGTACCCCCGTGGGCAGGGCGGACTGGTGTTCCGGTGCAGGATGGGTGCAGGGCTGGGTGCTGGATGTGAGCAGGGCTGGGTGCAGGGCTGGGCTGTGCACACCGCAGTGGGGGAGGGGATGGCGCTGCAGCCCAGAGCTGGGTGTGCAGCGGGGGGGGGGGGGGGGATGGGGGGGGGGGGTTGGTGGGGGGAGCTCGGAGGTCGCTGGTGAAAGTCAAAAGCATTGCAGTAAAATGGTAATCAATCTCCCCAGTCGATGGTGCCAGGACCTTCGAAGCATTACAGAGAGATTCCTCCCAGTAGCTCCTGACGGCAGCAGCCAGTCGGGGGGGGGGGCTACTGCCCCCCCTCCCTGCACCTTCACCTCGGTGCTCCCCACCTCTGTGGGCCCCCCGTCCCTGCACCCTCACCCTTGTGCCTCCATCCCTGCATCCCACATCCCTGGACCCCCATCCCGACACCCCCACCCCAGCAGCCCCTATCTCTGGACCCCCCCATCCTGGTACCCCCCCCATCCCTGGACCCCCCCTCCTCACGTCCCCATCCCTGCATCCCCATACTGGTACCCTCCCATCCCTGGACACTGTCCCCATCCCAGCCAGGCTCCAGGAGCCAGGGGGAGGCAGGGGAGCCCTTTGGGGTGCTGTGGGGCTGGGCAGGGACCCCACAGCCGATGTGCTGGGCAGGGCTGGGGAGTGTAGGGGCGGGGGGGGGGGGCGGGGGGCGAGGCTCTGCCCTGCAGTGAGCTTCCCCTGGCCGTGCCTGGCAGCTGAGCCCGGCTGTGCCCCCCCAGGGCCATGCAGGGTCAGAGCGGATGGGTGCCCAGGGCAAGCGGGCAGCGGGGCCCGGGGGTGGCATCCCCCCCCCCCCCCGGCACGCTGCCACGTGCAGCCGGCCACGCTGCTGCTGGCACACAGCACCCCGGGGCGGGGGGGGGGGGGCAGGCAGGGACCTCTGTGCCGTGCCAGCATCTGCGTCGCCCACCGCCTGGCAGCCCCTTATCTCCCCTCACCAGCCTCGCCGCTGGCTGCGGCGCGAGGCAGATGGCACCAATCTGCCAGGGAGCCCGTGCCAGGGCTCTCGTCCCGAGCGCGCTGGCCGGCCGTGCCAGGCCGGCCGTGCCAAACGTCTGCGCGGTCCCTCCAGATGGAGGAGCAGGCGTTTCCCCAGGCAGCGCCGCTCTGCCAGCCCCCGCGCAAATATTTATCGGCAGGGTTGCGAGGAGATTGATGGGGTGCACAATATTTGGGCTCTGCCATCCGCAGAGCCGGGCACCGGCGGGCAGGCAGGCCGGAGAACCGCCCCCCCCCCCCAGCACACAGATAAACACGTGCAAACCCTCCTCCCGCTCCGGGTATCTCTCCGCTCCCAACCCAGGAAAGCGGGGAGGCTGGCGTTGAGGGGAGCGGGACAGGCAGGGCCCAGGAGGAGAGATCCCCCGGGAACGGGCACGGGGGTACGAGACATCATGGAATCTACAGGGGCTGGTTTCCTGCCCCCAAGAGCTGTGTGCCGCAGGCGTGGGGTGGAAG